CCCCCTTCTTCTTCCCCCCCCTTATCCCTCCCTGCCCACCCATCCTCCCCAGTTCCTTTCCCTTTGGTACCTGTTAGTCCATTTTTGGGTTCTGTAATTCTGCTGCTGTTTTGTTCCTTCAGTTTTTCCTTTGTTCCTATACTCCTCAGATGAGAAGGCAACACTTTTTAAAGGGACATCTGGACAGAATTCAGCAGTTAATAGCAAAATTATGTTTGCCTTTTATAATCATGAGCAGCTGAGGCCTCCTCCATAAGATGAGGCCCACATGGTCCAAAGCACCCCACTTCCCTTGAAAAGTCATCTGGGAAAAGGGAGGGACAGACTCAAGGAAATAACTCTGTGTGGTCTAGAGAGAAGACACTTCCTGATTCTGCATAACTAAGAACAGATTCTGAGTCTACCATAGTGGCGACTGGGTCAGGCTGGATGAGCTCCCAGGCACTAGAGCAGGACAGGAAAGAGTTTGAACACGATCAGAGGAGTTTCTTAGCAGTCACTGGACCATGTTCAACTGCCCTCAGGGCCTGAATGACAGTTAATTTGGAAAAAGAAGTATTACTCAGTATCTTCAAAAAACACACTTGAAATACCTTTTCTAACTGACTCCATGAAGGCCTGCTGTCCTTCCCCAGCCAATTTCCAAACTGCCTCTGCCTTCCCTGTTCGATGTTTTTCCTTTTCCTGCTTCAATTGGTAAGGGATGAGTAGGCCTTACAAGGCTCCTCCATGCCAGAGCATTGTTTATCCCCAAGGGCCGCATGCACGCACCTGCAGGCATGACTCATGGAAGGCGAGGAGCCAGGCTTTCTGGCAGAGGAACGCAGGAGTTGTGAGATGGGCCTTTGGTTTTTATTCTCCCTAAAGGAATTGAAAGCAGCCTGATTGTCTTTTTTCTGGGATGCCAGCCCATGGTCCATTCCTAAGTACACAGTATTTGTACAGCAGCCAGAGAGAAGGGAGAGAAGAGGCTGTCAGCAGCCAGCCATCTGCATGGTGAGGGCATCTGGGCTACTCTCTTCATGTAGAGCTCACATTAGGGCATCTGCTTAGTGGGAGGGTCTGAGCCTCTGGTACCTAGGGCTACTGAAGGAATATTCAGTTAACACTTTCTCTAAGACCACTTTTCTAAGTCAACCATTGCTTTACTCATCGAGGACTAGAGTCATCATGTTTCAGTGGAAAGCATTAAACATTTAGCTGTTTAATGAGAAACATTAAACATTATGTCCATTATGGGGCCCAAAGCCCAGCATCTGATGGATTCTGATATTTATCTGAGATCCAGTCGCCTGTTTTGGAAGGATTGAAAGAGAAAATGGATGTAAGATAATCAACACTGACTATCAGTCAACTTTTACTGTGATAATAATCCCCAAATTCTAATGCCCTAAAGAATGGGTAGGGTTTATCCAAGTAAAGAGGAAAAGGAAGAGCATTCCACTCAGAGAGAACAGTAGGATATGTTGGAAGAACTGAAATCTAATTAGTGTGCAGGAATATGGAGGGGCCTGGAGTGGGATGAGCATGGCAGGAAATGGGGAGAAGAAACTGGAAGGAGGGGCAGAGGCCTGGTGTCAGGTTAAGATGATAGGACTTTATCTTAAGGGCATTAAACCTTTTTAAGGAGGGGAGCACCATGATCAGATTTTAGTTTTAGAAAGATTAGTCTTAAGAAATTCTTTGAAAATGTTAAAAGGGGAAACTGAAATGATCAGACTTTCCCTGTAGGAAGAATCACTGGTCCAAAAGGAGCTAAAGGGGGTCTGAGGCATCTAAGGAGGGTCCCATTAGAAGGTGTTAAAGGAGAGAGGACAAGATGAGATATGCAGTTAAAAATAATTACTCCCCTCAAGGAGCTTAAAAATTAAAAGAATCACTTGAAGATCTTAAAAAGATATAAATAGACAAGTAACTGGGGAGGCAGAGGAAACCTGGAGTCAGGGTGGGAGTCAAGCCCACTGCCATGGCCTCCATCCTCTCCTCCTGCCAGCTCTGCAGCCAGCCCCGGCAGCTGAGCTGATCCATGGAGGCCTTGGGCCCCGACACCATCCAGGAACCTGCAGCTCCCAGGCTTGCTACATCCCCAGAGAGATGGCAAGGGACAAGCTGACAGGTGGTGCCTCTGGCGGGCTGCTCCCTGGTGACAGTGGAGTGTCCAGGGACAGGGCTACCTTCAACCTGCTTGGGAAGCTCGGCTCCAAGAGAACGCTCAGCAACATCCAGATGGCCACTCAGGATATCTCTGACATCCTCTACGGTGTGAAGGAGGTGGGCCACCTGCTGTGCGAGGGCTGCACCAACCTTCTAGAGCAGCTGGACACCCAGCTTACGGTGACAGCGACTGGCAGGCAGGTGCTCTTGCACTATGCGGGGACAGGGTAGGCCGGGGGTACCAAGGACGCGCAGCTGTGTGCGCGGCTGCAGAACATGGTGCTGGAGAAAGCCAGGCTGGTCCGGGAGCTGGACGAGGTGGAGAAGGACCGGCAGAGCATGGCCACCGGCCTGGATGTGCCCAGGCAGAGACACAGATGCTGCACCAGCAGGATGAGCAGCATCAGAGCGACTACAGTGAATTAGAGCAGCAGCAACTGGAGCTGCAGGGTGAGGTGCCGAGCGTGGAGAACCGGCTGCAGCATGTCCAGGTCCAGGTGGGCTGGCTGGAAAAAACCGATGTCTTCGGTGCCTCGTTTAAGATCTGGCACAACGGCCCCTTAGGCATCATCAATGACTTCAATTGGGCTGCCTCCTCACCATCCCCATGCCCTGGAACGAGATTAATGCAGCCTGGGGACAGACTGCCTTGCTGCTCTTTGCCCTGTCCAGGACGATTGGCCTGGAGTTTCAGAGGTACCAGCTGGTCCCCTGTGGAAACCATTCCTATCTGAGGTCTTTAGCAGATGACCTTATTGAGCTGCCCCTGTTCTGCAAGGAAGGGCAGAGTTCTTTCTTGTATAACAAATTTGACCGGGCAATGACGGCTTTCCTGAACTGCATGCAGCAGTTCAAGGAAGATGCCGAGAAAGGTGAGTTGGGACTCTGCCTGCCCTACAGGATTCACGTGGACAAAGGCCTGATGGAGGAACCTGGAAGTGAGGGATTCTACTCCATCAGGACCCACCTGAATGTGGACGAGCAGTGGACCAAGGCACTCAAGCTCATGCTTACAAATTTCAAGTGGAGTCTTGCCTGGGTCTCCTTAAGGTGCCATCAAAAAACTTTTCTAAGAGGACAAGGGAGATTAACAGCTAAACTGTGAAACTGAAGGGCATTGCATGATTATGATTTTAAAAATGAACGGTCATACAGGTGTTAAGATTAAAGAATTGTCCAGAGCAAACCAGAAGTCCCTGCTATCTTCCCCAACACATCTCAGTCCTTCCTTCTTGGTACCTTCCTCCCCACCTGCTTCCCACCCTGAGACATTCAAAAATGACAGCAAAGATGAAACTACAGTGACAAGATTATTCCTATATAAAAAGGGACCAAGGGAGGTAGAGGGAGAACTGAGGGTGGGGATTAGAGGAGAAGCCATGGAAGGAGAAAGATGGAGTCATCAACTTTTTGATGAGAGAATACAAATGGCCACTGATTGCAGTGGAACTTTGGGTATGTGGGGGAGTAGATAGTCAAAGATTATTAAGTTTCTGCTGTTGTGAAGTACAGTGTAAACCCCTCTTTAATCCCTGAGATTTCCAATAAAATGCTACCTTCCTCAGTGACTTAAAGTCAGAAATGTGTCATTGAGCTAAGTGGGTGGGTGACTAAAAAAGCCTGGTCACATTCAGGCTGAGGATCAATCCAATGGTCAGTTAATAGTCATGACGTGAGCCCTTACAGAGAGCGGAAGACTGAAAGGGACTCAGCCAGAGGACTTTTTAAACATGTAGTTGTATCCTGTCATTCACCTGCTTCTTGGCTGCTCTCAGAATAAAGTCCCAGGCCTTTACTGTGGCTCTCAGCCGTGCCGGCCTCCCCAGGCTCTGCTAACACCAGTCCTATCTATTCCTGAACGTGCCAAGAATGCCCTCCTTCTGCCCTTTGCCTGTGCTCTTCACTGTGTCCGATTTTCTAACTATAAACTTCCAGAAATCTGTAGCTTTGAAGCCCAGATAGTGCTTAGAACAGTGTCTCATCTACATGAAACATCTTTAAATAGAAGTCATTGTTTAAATGAGAACAGAAAGGTGATTACTTGGTCGCTGGGAGATGGGTTAAATGAATGAAGGTCTAAGCATATGATGAAATATCATGAAATGTTACAGAGGATTTTTTAACTTCATAATATTTAATGACAATGCTTATAATAGTAAGTAAAAGATTAGGTTATACAACAAGTAATATGAAAACTCAGAAGTATTTAGAGAAAATAATTCCAAGAATATATGTTCCTTGAATATGTGAAGATAGTTCCATGAAAATTTTGTATTTAAAAATTTAAAGCTTTCCACTGGAGATTAGGAAAAAGATACTGTCTTTCAGCAATTCTGTTTAATATGTGTTGGTGATCCTCACTGGTAGAATAAATAAAAAATAAAAGGTAGAAGGGAAAAAATATAATTGTTACTGTTACATGACACAACTGGGTAACAAAATCCAAATAAATCAACAAATAAGTGATTAGAATTAAGTGAATTAAGGAATTCATTGACTACAAAGTTAAAAAAATAATTAAATGTGTTTATATAAGCAAAAATCAGAATTTAAAATAGTTTGAATTGTTAAATACCCAAGAGTACTCTGACAAGCCCCTTGCTCAGAAAATTATGTTATCAATTACTTCTAGACCAGGGATTGGCAAATTTTTTCTGTAAAAGGACAAACAGTAAATACTTAGGGATTTTTGTTCCATGCAGTCTCTGCTGCAACAAGTTAATTGTAGCAACTACTCACTTGTGCTGTTACAGTGTAAAAGCAGCCACAGAAAATATGTGAATGAATGGGCTGTGTTATTGTGAGCTATTGACTGAAAGAGAGAGCGGGCTAGATTTGACCCCCTCTCTAGACAGCAGACTCTGAATCATGGGCCTTACCTCTTACTTACAGTTATGTCCCCAGCAGCCTGCATTGTGCTTGCCATACAGGAGACTCTTGTGAAGAGTTGAGTGAATAAATCGCTGAATTATACTGAGTGGGGGAATTATAGGAAATTTTATTTTCTTCTTTGTGGTTTATAAATATTCTCTCATGCACATGTATTTATCTTATAATAAAAGAAATTGAAACTATGCCATTGAATAGCAATCCCCCATTTTCCTTTCCCTAGCTCCTGGCTGCCACATTCTACTGTCTGCTTTTAGATCCCTCACATAAGCAGAATTTGCAGGATTTGCCCTTCTGTGACTACCTTAGAGAAACCACATTTGGGAAAATGAGTTTCTAGGCAACTAAAATGGAGATCTGGAATAGCTATCTGTGCCAGCATCACCTACCAGCAGGTAAGAAAAGCACACTTCCAGGGGTGTTTTTCCAAGTTTTAACTTTTGAATGATTTAATGTTTTATATATTCAAAAAATTTAAAAATACATCAAGAGAAATAAAAAGCAAAGCTGAAGACTGAAAGCAGTGGAAACCAATAAACCTAATACATCCAATTTTAACATAATCACAGAAAAAAGGTTTATTTTAAGTACTTTTGGAAACAGTAATCTGACTATATATTTTTAGTAGATACACTCTAAGGATGAAGTGTGCTATAATTAAATATTAAAAATTGCCCAGTACTTCTATAGGTTGGAGTACTACTGATTTATAATTTTAAATTATTTTATGTATACTGTAAGAGAAAGCTATCAATATCTGAATTGGAAATATTAGTATGAATTCTTGTATGTGCTGTGTGTACTTGTTTTTTTAGCTCTGTTTACTGTAAAGGCTTAGAAGCAATGCTAAGCCTGGAACTATAAATATCCGCAGTAACCAGATGCTAGTTTCTAAGGACCATCCCTCACTGAAAGGGAACTTTTTAGAGAAATGACTAATTCCAGATCTGTGGTGGGGTGGGGGTGGCAGGGAATGTACAAATGAATCCAACATTTTGTTGTGCCATAAATTAAGGAAACTATTGAAGTCTAATGGGGCATTTCAGAGGAATCAGTAGCCAACTTGAAGGAGCTCCCACTGGTCAAATTTGAGACAATTTGAGCATCAAGAAGAATAATTATAATTTCTCATAAATCATTGAAGAGGCAAAGGCCCAGGAATCCTCAGTGATACTAGAAATGGAAGGGGAAAGTTCATTTGTCATGATTTGAGGTGACTGAGATGGCTAATTCTTACCTTAAAATTCACCATTGAAGGGAGAATGATGAAGCACACCATCTTTCTTTAGAAGAAACTGCAGTTCATTCCCAACTGATAAGGGAACATTTTTCTTTATAGAGAAATGTCATCTAATAAATGTAGATAGAATCAGAAATAACCATTTGACAACCCCTGAAATAATTGACTCAGGTAAGGATAACCAAAAGACGCTGAAAGAGGGTCTTGGAGGAGGACATCTGCCGAGGACTGACTGACTCTCATCCCGCAAACGGCCAACCGACATTCTATATAATGAAGTTTGCTGTCCACACTTTACCCAGTTATCAAATTTAACATCACTGATAGTGAGATAGTCTAACATTATGTCACCTGACAGAATGTATTAACCTCATAGTATCACCTCTAAAATATTATTGCCCAGAATGTTTTGATCTTCCCAAGCCCTAAGACCTGTTTTCCAGTTTCCTGGAACAAGCTAAATGCCATGATAAATAAATAATCAGATTAAACCAGAATGTGAGATTTTCTATAAGACCCCTGGCCAAGGTTTAAAACAGTCAATATTTTTTAAAAAGCAGGAGGGATGTATTAAGTTACAAGAGACAGATGAGACATGACCACCACATACAATGTGAACTCTGAGAAAGGAAAAAAGCAGCTGTCCTGCTGGCTGAGCAGCCCTGACCGCTGCTAGCTACAGAGTTCTCCAACTGAACACAACTTCACAGAACACCGAAACTCAGGTCCCTGGGATGGAGGAAAACCAAAGCAAGAACACTGCCCAAACCACGAAAACGGTCAAACATCTCCCTTTCCTGCTTTGTTCCCCCTGCTGCAAGAAAAAAATCAAGAAAGTCACAGCATTGCCTCTTGCTTTTTGGTAGCACCCAATTCAGAGCAAAACCACCACAGCTGTGACGCCTCTGAGAAGCCTCCTGCAGCCCCTCCCACACGGTGTTCTTTCCCCCGTTGCAAAAAGCCAATCACTATAGCTTTGTTCAAGGAGTCTTTGGAGGACATCAGCAACTTAAAGTACATCCTGATTTGAAAAAAGTCAAAGACAAATGTAAGAGACATTTGGGGGAAGAATTATGGTAACTTGAATAAAGGCTGATATTAGGAGATATGTAGAGGCTTATGAATTTTCTTGTGATTATGGTATTGTGGTTATGATGGAGAATATAGTTTTGGTAGGTGGCTATATTTAAGGTTAAGATAACGTGTCTTCAGGATACTTTGAAATGATTCAGCAAATTAAGAAAGTGTATTCATAAAATCATTGTGGTAAAATGTTGAAACTTGTGGATGAAGAAATGTGTTCATTACACAATTCCTTCATTTTATTTTCTCATTGTGCTTTTTTTTGAGGGATCATTGACATATAACATTGCATTAGTTTAAGGTGAACAACATAATGATTTGATAGATGTATATATTGTTCAATGATCACAATAACTTTTATTAACAACATCCCCAAACACAGTTAAAACATTTTTTCTTGTGATGAGATCTTTTAAGATTTACTCTCTCAGCAACTTTCCCTTATTTTATTTTAGTATTTTATTTCTTATTTCTTATTTTTTAATTTTGGTATCATTAATTTACAGTTACATGAGTTACATTATGTTTACTAGATTCCCTCCATCATCAAGTCCCCACCACATACCCCATTACAGTCACTGTCCATCAGTGTAGTAAGATGCTATAGAGTCACTACTTGTCTTCTCTGTGTTGTACAGCCCTTCCTGTGCCTCCCCTATATTATGTCTGCTAATCGTAATGCCCCCTTTCCCCCCTTGTTCCTCCCTTCCCACCCATCCTCCCGAGTCCCTTTCCCTTTGGTAACTGTTAGTCCATTCTTGGGTTCTGTGATTCTGATGCTATTTTGTTCCTTCAGTTTTTTCTTTGTTCTTAATACTCCACAGATGAGTGAAATCATTTGATACTTGTCTTTCTCCTCCTGGCTTATTTCACTGAGCATAATACCCTCTAGC